AAGCTTCAGTCAACAGATTCATAACTTTAGAATCGGACCATCGACCGGTTCGTGGTACATTCAGATCCATCCAGATGTTTATCAGTAAATCTTTACACCTTCAGCCTCCTGAATCTCAAAATGACTAGATTGTTTTTGTTTCCCGCCCACCGTGGCGGTGACGAGGGCCCTTCAGCGACGGCTCGTAGTGACTCGGAGACAAACCTGCTGTGTCTGTAAACGCCAACATAAATGAAACGTTTTGGTGTCCTGGCTATAAAAGACATATTTCCAGAGGCAAGACGCATGTAAAGGAGCTCCTGACAGGTTGTTCTTCTGCATGAACACATCCGTGGGTCTGTCGTCTCCCGCTCACATAAACTATTGAAGATGGTGGAGGACAGATTGAAAGGCCTCCCATCTATGTATGTTTTCTCTCCCAGGCAGGTGAGGCGGAGGGGGAGGGAGGGGGAGGGTGTTTTATATGAGGCAGCAGCAGAAATCTCAGTGTGGACGTTCAGACCACAGAGGACACCTCAAGGTTGAACCACACTGAGCTAAATTATTCACCAGCCTCCTCGCTCTGCAGTGTGTCCACAATCCACAAAATGACCTTTATATAGGAAACATAACGCTGGCCCGAATCCCATTCTGTCAACATTATAACGTTAATATTAACCCAAGGGTCGACAACCTTTATCAACAGTAAATGAATAAAAATCTGTCTGGAGCCGCAAAACATATTTGAGTGTTATAATAATAAAGTCCAGGGGAATGAAAAATGTTAGTTTAACCCTTTAAGATCCTCCGTTATATTGTTCCTGAGCCAGGACGAACATCAGTGATAGCAATCATACCACTTTAAGGCCATTGCCAGTCTGTATCCACTCTCCATTCTGATCGTATTGATTGTATTTGATTGACTCCACAACCCAACGGGTGACGAGAGGTTCACAGTCGGCAGAAACAAACATTCATTCACATTCTGTTTGACAGAATTAACAGAAATTAGGTTAAAATCAGCAACACATTTGTAGTTTTCTGTGGTATATTGATGTTATATTATTGAAGTTTGCTGCATGAAACTGAGAATACTTTTGTAGTTTTACTTCAGGATGATTTCGTATGCAGGTCTTTTACTTCCACTGAAGTATTTCTATTATTGTTGGCTCATTTACTTCAGTAGGCCTGAATAATGTGAATACTTTCCACCCCTCTCTCTCTCTCTCTCTCTCTCTCTCTCTCTCTCTGTGTGCAGGTCGTACTAACAGTAACTCCTGTGACTTTCCATTTTAATAAGCCCGCAGCAGAATGAGAAAGCTGCCCGGCATCGATCTGTTTTTCCTCCGGCTTTATGGAGAGCAGGAGGAAGAGATGTCAGATTTTCCCTCAGCTGGATGGCAGCAGCTGGTCTAGACATGAAATCACCAACCGCAGGATGAGACGGAGGTTCCCAGGACTGAACGGTCCTCACGAAGCCTCAGAAACACATTTACATAATGCTCATTTGTTTTACCGATAGACGTTTTTCACAACAGCCATTCTGGACATGAACTAAAAGGGTAAACACAGGTGTAAGCAAGGATGCTAATTGCTAATACTAAAGGTCCGGTTCCATTTTAGTGGAGCAGATTGTACATTAACTGAATGGAACCAGACCTTGATTGGTAACACCTGTGTTTACCCTATTTCATGTCAAACTGGCTGCTGCTGTGAAAAAGGTCTATTATGATGTGTTGGGTAGTGTAGTGCCCCCTACTGGCAACAGACAGCCTTGTATCATCTGATATTTATGTGACATTTTCATGGCGCCGTCCACGTAACAATTGTAAATAATAAAATTTTAATTAGCGTTTTTTTAAAAAGTGGTTGTCATCTACGACCCGCAGGCGCCATCTTTGTTTTATCTCTACGTTAGCTCCATGTTAGCGTTAGCTTTTTGGCAGATTTTCTGTTAAAACTGGAACCACATTTCTTTCCGATATGAATCTGCTCCTGTGACTCAGCACTTACTGGAAAACACACGTCACATATTCATTTAAATCCTTTTTCCTGTTTGAAGCCACAAGGACGATTTGTTTCCTCCGTTCGAACCTTATCTCCTCTAACGATTCTGTTCCTCCGTCCTGCCACAACCAGTCACCACTGCCTTCCCCTACACTCTCCTCCAATTGTGTTTTTCTTACTTCTCTTTCTGTTTTTCTGCCCCTCTCTCCTTTTTCTCTCTCCATCCTCGCCTTCCTCCCCACCAGTCAAGGTGATGAAGTGGCCAGTGAGTAGCCGTCTCTGCCGGTAATCACCGCGGTAACTCATGGCAGCGCCGCGGCGCCGGCAACACGCCATCCATCACCGCCTCTGCTGCTGCGGGAAACTGATATATCAAGATGTAAATTGTGGCCTTACTGCTCCTCCACTGTCTCCACTGAGGAGGAGGAGGAGGAGGAGGGGAGAAAACTGGGAAAAGGAGGAAAAAATCCGAGGGAGGAGAAACCTGAATGTATGAGGACGGCGGCGGAGTTAATCCATCCTAATCCAGCCTTATTGCTTTCTCTCAGCCTGCAGTGATCTGAGTGCACAGTAACATCTGTATACAACACGCTTTATATTCTCATGTATACAACAATTCACACATTACATTCACACCTGCAGGCAACTTACTCTTAATTCAGACAATTAAAGCTCCAGTGTGAAATATTGAGGAGGATCCATTGTCAGAAATATAATATTTATGTTTTCATTCGTGTTTAATCACCTGAGATGTTTTTATCTACAGAGGGAGCGGGTCCTCTTCTGGTGGAGTCCGCCATGTTGAGCACCAGCTGCACCATAGTTTCTCTTGTACGCTTAATGCGAGGGGGTTGTAATCTGCAGCTACACCGCTAAATGCCACTAAATCCTACACTGGATCTTTAACTCAGTGGTTCCCAATTACATTAACTATTATTATATTTTATGGATAATTAGGTTTATTATTTTATTCCCCAATGAACTGTTGGCAGCTGCAACATGCTAATGAAACACATATGGCAAAATGTCTTGGCCAAGTTTTAAGTGCCGGGCGGAGGGTTCAAACCAAGTGTGACTCTCGTTGAGGAGGAATTTAATTAATTTGAAAGCAGAATCCAATCATTGTGTCTTCCTGTAAAACTAAATGTAACGCATGCTTACGTCAGCATGAACTAACTGATTTCAACCAATAACATCCTGACATTCACCCGTCAATCAATCTTCAACTTTTAGAGACACAGAGCGAAGATTCATTAGTTACCTGCTAACAGCATGGCTAGCTACCGGAGCAGAGACTAAAAAACTGGAAATCTGAACTACACAAATAAACTGAAATTTGGTACCGAATGACCAAAAGACATCATGCAATACTCAGTGGCATTGACACAGTTCGATCTGTGCCATGAAATTTGGGTACCCAGTCCTGGTTGTCAATACGATGCCTGAGTTTCAGTATTGAGACCAAAACAAAAGTAGAGCTGCACAATTTATCACAAAATGATCGAAATTGCAGGTAAAATGTGTGACAAGCAGCATTATGATGAAGTACTGTAGTGCTGCAGAGACGCCCTGGTCTACAAATCTTTTCTCCAGATGTTGTTTGGTACAGACCCAAACAAGTGTCACATATGTATGCTAATAATAAACTAGTTAATGGTGAATATGTATACCTTAATAATACAAATATTATATACTGTGACACTTAAGTGAAAATGGAAGGAACGTCTTACCCTACGATCTGATTGAAGTATCTTCTGTAGCCTTCCACTGTCTCATGCTGAATACACATAAAAAAGCCATGTTTACACACTGTACATAAATGCAAAAAAATATATATACGTTATCATCGTGTGGTATTACATTTGTGAGCAACGATTGTTTTGCATACGCTCATTGTAAGCGTGTTCAGCGAGATTCTAACGTCCAAAACTGTATAACTGGTTGCATTACAGTTAATAAACAGACGGAATTTAAGCAGATGTTTTAATTTACACACTATGTGTAGAAATTCTATGACTATTGACTATATAATCTTTCAACTTATCCTGATAGCATAGCAAGTTATTGTAGAAGCACATGGGGTAGAAGCATACATTACTGTTTGCCATGGTGTACCAATAGGGA